GGACAAAGCCCTCATTTCCCCCCAACCTTTCTGCCTCATCAGGAACACCCTCATCCCCATAGAGGTGACGCTTAACCCCAGAGCCAAAAGAAGCAGATTTCTAACGGGGTACTTTCAGGCTCCAAAATGGGTACACAAATAGCAGTTTTAAAGCTGATGGAAGGAGGAACGGACCACACATTTAAGGAAACATTTCCACTAGTATATATCACCTCCTCCCGTCCTCTATTTCTGAACCCCTTTTGGATTTACACCAGAGCCTGGGAATAGTGAAACACACACACACACACACACACACACACACACACACACACACAGCTTCTCCACCCACAGAAAAGGATACACCATCCCCAGGGATTCTTGGATACCTCCCAACTCAACCTTTTGGTGTTTCAGAGTAACCCTACTTTGGGAGGCAGGAGACCTGGATGTGGCCCTGGGCAAGTCCCTCCCCCTCTCTAAGGCTGATGGGAATGAAGGATAGACCGCCAAGTTTCCCCTGGAGCTGATCTCAGGGTAGCCTGAGGCTGCTTCCCCAGGCGGCTGGGTGGGGACTAGGTGCCTCACCACCTTCCCTTTCTCTCCCCTCCCATACCTGCTGCTGGATGTGGATCTGGGCCAAGCGCTGCAGGCAGGCGGCATGCTCAGGAACGGCTGTAAAACACAATGCACACCGCCGATGATGCCTGTGCCTTCCCCCGACGGCTCAATAGTCTATTAGGTCTTTGACAGGATTAGAGTATTGAGTGGAGAAACTAAACAAACGCCAGGCTTCATCGACCGCTGCAGCTAGAGGAGGTGGTAGGACTCCCTGCTCACGCCAGTCATATTCTAGGACCCAAAAAGGAGGGGAAGATACAGGCCCCTAGAAGACAAAACCTTGGGGTCCCCAGAGTTGCCCCATACCTCCACTCCAGCGTCATAAGCAGTGACAGGTAAAAAGAGCTTTACCTGTCACGGGATCTGTCCCTTTGCTCTTGGCCAGTGGGACCAGGTCTGCCTGACCTAGGGAACAGGGTGCCTGCAGGTGGGCTGAGGATAAATGCCAGGTCCCTAAGCTGGCCACCTGAAATCCAATACCCAAATCCTTGGCCACCATGCTAGGCCCAAAGCTGAAGGCTGTTAGATGCTCAGCAGGTAGCTGACCAGGGGTAGGGAGGGGGAGCTGGGAGAAACACCTGCAGAGACAGACAAGATGGATATCTGGATTCAATTAAAGTCACTGTCTGCTTGTCAAAACCCAGGCATAGAGACTGCTCTCAGCAGTGTGGCAGGAAGAATTCACACACATTCACATACCTGGCAGAGAGACTCTGACAGTAAAATCTGGGCTCTGCAGCACCCTAAAGGACAGATGCTGAGAGGTGGGATAAAAGGCAGAAGGAATCCCCAGAGTTGGGGCTCCTGGGCTTACATTACTATCCTTAGGCCAAAATTGCCCGGGGTTCTGAAACTGAGCTCTCTGCCTTGGCAATTTTTAATCCCAAAGCAGAAGGCAGGTACCCCCCAGGTTAAAGATAAAGGTAAGGGCCCTGGTGGTGTGGCTCAGTTCATTGGAGCATCATCCCATGGAGGTCATGGGTTCAATTCCTGGTCAGGGCATATACCCAAGTTGTAGTTTCGATCCCTGGTCGGGGTGTGTATGGGAGGCAACCAATCAATGTTTCTCTCTCTTTCCCTCTCCCTTACTGAAATCAATTTTAAAAAAACATATCCTTGAATAAGGATTAAAAATGGAAAAACAAACAAACAAACAAAGACAAGCAGCAGACCTAGCCTGAGCCCAGGGAACCTGAGGCACAGGGAAGTCCTGCCCATCCACCCACCTCCCCAAGCAGAGTAGTGGAGAGGTACCTTTGATATGAGCGCTGTCCAGCATGGGCACCAACGCCTCCACCTGCTCCAGAAGTGCAATCTGGGAGAGGATAAACTGCTCCTCTGAGGATAAACAGACAAGATAGTGGCAGTGAGGCAAGCCTGGGCACTGCTACTCCAACGCAAGAGGCTGAGATCCTGGCAGGGGAGATGGCTGGGTCCTGGAGCTTGGAGCTACTGCCCAGTGCCCCCTTCTCAAGGTGCACATTCCCCCATTCTGCCCCCAGACCCCTGAATGCCTCTGGTCTGACCCATCTTGAGCCCAAGGAGCCTCTAAGTTTCTCCAAATCCAACTTTTCTCCAATTTTTAACTTGAAGGCTCTTCCTCTAGCCTCAACAAATTCTGTGAGCCCCTCTGAGGCCACAGGAGACAAATTACTTCAGACTTAGGACCCCACACTCAGGGCTCCTGGGAAGGAAAGGTCTGAAAGAGGAGACGTGGCCGCGGCCAGGCCGGTTCTGCTCTGTGGCTCCGGAGAACTGGGGCAGTAATGAAGAGTCCAATAAGGAGAGCATGGCCCTGCGAAGGTGATTTCAATGGTTGCAAAGAGTGGGAAGGGCACCGAAGAAGGGAGGACTGTTAGGTCAAACATTTGGAAGCAAGAGTGCTTGTCAATTAGTAGCAGAAAAAGAATTTAAGTTGCTGAACTGGACAAAGGAGAGCATAGGAAACAGAGCTGGATGGGAGGGGAGATCCAGCAAACTGTAGGCGGCTTTGAGTGGCAGGCTAAGGATTTAGGACTTTTATCCTAGCAAGGAGAGAAAGAAAGAGACACTGAAGTTCCCCAGTAGACAAAGCGGCATGTTGGAAATGTGTTTGGGAAAGATGACACTGGACCACATGCAAGAAGGGAAGGCTAGGGTCAAAAGAGGACTTGGGGAACTGTAACAGTTGATGTGTGAGTGGACGAACACTGAGGCAGCAGCCAGAGGGAGGGAGGGAGAGGCTGGATTCACGAGTTAGTGCAAGAGATTTCCTGAATTTGATGCAGTAGATGATTATTAAAAATCTTTTCAATGAATGAACAAGCACAGATGCTTGGCAAACCCTGCCTCATGGAGTGGTTGACTAACTGATGAGCAGACACTGCCTAGAACTCTGAAATCCCAGAGCTTTCTCATATGAAAAAAAGATGTAGAAATTCATGCCAATATTCTCCTCTCCCAAATGCAATGCTCTCTGCTCCCACCCTTTCCTAGAAGCTCCTCTGTGAGCAAAAGTGAGAAAGGTTCTACAGGAAAATTCTAGAAGTAGACCATTGATAGAACATTGGAGTCACTCCCACTGTGGCTAGCACCATGGCCTCCGGGTGATTCAGAAGTACACCACATCCAGTGCCACTCGAGAACCACCGGACCACCTCAGCTTCAGCCCAGATCGTGGCCAGAATTCCAGACAGCAGTTTCCTGGGCTTTACCCATTAGGACTGGCAGGGAGGCCACCTCTGTGCCCAAATTTCCCCCCCACCCCAATCCACATCCCCAGATGCACGTGCATACCTGCTAAGATGAACTGCAGCTTAGAGGCATCAGGTATGGCAATGCGGTCAATGTACTCAGGATCCAGGTATTTGATCAGGTCTTCGACTAGAAAAGTAGCAAGGTAGAAAATGGATTAGGGTTGGGGAGTGAGGGTCTGTTTTATGAAGGATACTGGGGGAATGGTCCACCTTGGGGAGAGCCTTCAGTGAGGAGCTGACGCCTCCAGTGTCCATTAGCAGGCCTCTACCAGGGCTCCTAGCCATACTTCCCTGTCTCGCCCCTCTGATCACCTGCTGGCTGACCTCAAACTTTAGAGCTTGGAGCATACTGGGGCCTGCAGTATTCCCACTGACCTATGTTCACCAAGGGTGGAAGGCCCCTTGCCCCTCAGTGCCACCAAGACAACCAGAGCTCTATCTGATTTCTAATTACTGGGCAGGTTGCTGGCTGAGCCAAGGCTAGGACTCCAGTGCCTAATTAATTTCCCGCCTCTGAACCTTGCCTGTGGAAATCCCATACCTGTTCTCCATACTTCACCAAAGGGATCTTTCAGATAGAGCTCTTAGCCCATCACTTGGGACACTGTCATGGGCTTGGAGTTTTACCACAAAATAGAAAGCACAGCCCAATTCACCGTTTCAGCAGGGAAATGTCTTCACATTCCATCCCCAAAGGGCAACTCCAGTGACCTAATGGGCTGAAGGACCAGGGCCAGTCCTCAGGAAGTACAGGCATGGAAAAGAAGAAGGCAGGCAGGCACCCGACAGGAACTTACTCTTCTTGAACAGAATCTTCACTCTCTCTCTCTTACTCGAGATGTTCCCCAAAGCTACCTGCACCTTGACCAGGCCATCAGCCACCTGTAAGGGGAGTGAAAGTTACTTCCAAGATACACCACCTGGTTCAAGGCTTGGAAGATGTAAAGAACCCGCATTCCCTGACTCCCAAACCTCTTTGCCCCAGAAATCTAGGTTGGTCACTTTTTCTTGTATTAAAGGAGATGTAGCTCCACCTGCCAGGAATCCTCAGTGTGAACGGGGAGATAATCATGTACTCCTTGGGGGAGTTTCTAGTTTGATTGGGGAGATAACGAACTATTTTAGAGTTTATGGGGCACTGGCATATACTATATATTCTCTGGTTCCCACCTCTCTGACTGAACCTACCTAGACTTTAAGGGTAGAGGATGAGGAATTCCAATATTAAAGGGCTGAATAGATGGAGAGGTAATGGCAGTGAATGATCTCACCCAAAATTCAAGGGTCAGTTATATGGGGAGGCACATAAAACTGAGCAGCACAGCCATCCTTGCAGAAGGAAAACCATGAGGGTTAGCATCATAGATGCCAAAGGGAGAGAATGTTTTGCGAAGTCAGTTCTCAAGTGGGGCACAGTCTGCTGGTACCAACTACTTCCACGGGAGTGTACAGATATCATTACCTCTGATGCACTTAAATCCAGGACATCCCTGACACTCCACCTTCAGTAAAAGGTCTTCCCACAGTAAAAAGGGGGTAAGAGGACAACTGAGCTTCACGTTGTCAAAATTCAGGTACTAGTGTGAAGACGTGCCAGTCCACATTGGAAAACCCGGTATCCAATCCCTTCCCCTCCTAATCCTCGTCCTCTCAGACCTCACCTCTCACCCGCACCCTCCCGCGCCCCGGAGCCTTCCTTGAGCACCTCTGCTCTGCCTCCTCTAATCCACGGACCTCTTTCTGCACAATTCATTTAGCAATTAATTACACAGAGCTTCATGCCACCCTTCCATTGTGGACCGCAGCTTCCCGAGGGTGTCAAGGCTCCCCCGCTGGCAGGAGCGGAGTCTTGGTCACGGTTCATACTGAGCCCATTTCAGACGGGCCCAATGCCCCGCAGTTCCCTGCATGGGCATGGGCCCCGAGGGTCCAAAATGCTCCGGGAGGTCTCGGACCTGTGTTATTTCAAAGGCCGGACTGTGGGCGACGGGACTGGAACCGCACCCACCGGAGGCACAGGCCAGCAGACCGCCCGTCTCTGCCTCAGAAAGGGACCGCTGCACCCAAATCGCTCACCTTCCGCGAGCCGCGCGACCCACCCGGTCCGTACACCCAGCGCTCCAGCTCCTCTACGCGGGCCTGTAGCCGCTGCACTTCGGGCACAGCCGCCATAGCTACCGCCCCGCCTCAGCCCGGCAACAGCTGGAGGGCGGGACGTCCGCCCAAATGGAGAAGGCTAGCCAATCCGAGCGCACGGGCTCCCCTCCATTCAGGAAGTGATGTCACGACATAGGCCTTCAGTGCCGGAAGCGGCCGGCTGGGCGGGTGAAGAGAGTCGAAAGCTGTCTGGTTACCTAGGCAACGGCCACTCCTGTTTGTCAAGACCACCTTTACCTTTCTTCTTCTAATTTCAGGGGACCAAAGAGGTTTCTCCACCTCATTCCCCGAAGTTGCACATATAAATACACTCATTATTGCCGAAACCGGTTTGGCTCAGTGGATAGAGCGTCGGCCTGCGGACTGAAAGGTCCCAGGTTCGATTCCGGTCAAGGGCATGTACCTGGGTTGCGGGCACATCCCCAGTGGGAGATGTGCAGGAGGCGGCTGATCGATGTTTCTCTCTCATCGATGTTTCTAACTCTCTATCTCTCTCCCTTCCTCTCTGTAAAAAATCAATAAAAAAATATATTTAAAAAAAAAAAATAAATAAATAAATACACTCATTATTTCCAGGGTTGGTCCATTCCTATAGATCAATAGATAGCATAATCTTTTAGAGTCTAATAAGGTTCAAACGATGGGGCCACTCAGTACTATAGTGGCAGAATCAGGATTTGAACTCAGGCAGTCTGACTCATGAGACTGAGCTCTTCTATTCTCATGGGCCTTTGCTGTTCTGTCTTCCCTCTGAGAACCCTTGGCCCAACGCTGCCTGTAAACCACACAATTCCTTTTCCAACCCCCAGATACAAACAAGAAGAGGCACTGGGGAGGAAGGGACTACAGCTTTATTATCCAGATGTGACCTGAGGGACATCTCCTCCACAACATCCCAATCCAACCCTTCATATGGCTCCTGAAGAGAAGAAGCAGGTCTGACTCCAAGAGGTAGGGTCCTAGACATGACATTGACAAAGTGAGGAGATGATGGGGGTTTCTAGGGGCAGGACTCTTTGGTAGATGCTGCTGGAGTTGGCCAGAAAGGAAGTGCCCTCCCTTTACAATGAGGTAGATGTAACATCAAAAGAAAACTCTTTGGCTTCAAGTCCACATGGCATGTGGGGGGAGTGGTTACCTCCCAGGTCTGGGTCCGAGAGTGGGCCCTTGGAAGAATCAAGGTGGAGGGAGTGTCTCCCCCCGCCCCCACCCAGCAATGGGCTAGGACTCAATTCAAAGTGGGAGCTCTCAGGGTGAGATGCCGGAAGGGGGCCCTGTAGGGGTTGGGGGTACAGGGTTAATTGGGCCCTGGGAAGCTGGCACAGGCTGGCGGCGGGCAAAGAGGATGCCTGCCAAAGGAGTGAGGAGATGGTAAAGGTAAAATACAAGCAGGAGAGGGGATGACAGGGAAACAGAAGAAGGAAACAGAAGTTAGTGACCTGATTGCTAGAACACCACACACATACCTCTGCCACAAACCAATGAGGACAAACCCCTTGGGTCAGTCAGAGACTTCTATGCTAGTATAGATACCCTCGAACAGGTAAACAATATCTACACTGATATATAGGCCCATGACAAGGCAGACATCCCATGGTACCCATAGAGAGGTCATGCCTTGACCCCCATGCCAATGTAGCAATCCCCTGAACCCCATATTACCCATGCAAGTTTGGATATCCCTGAATCTCATGCAAGTAGAAAAAGTCTAAAATCCCCATGCCAATGTAAATACCCCTGACCTCATGCCAGTGCAGACAGCATGCAGTACCTGTACCTGTGTAGACCACCCCGTTGATCTCTAGGGCCATGTTGATACTGCTGATACCACTGCCTGCCAGATTGAGAGGCCCATCCAGCCGCTCTTCTGTCCAGGAGGGGGCAGGGGAGTCACATTTTTGGGAATCAGACTTCAGACTTACAAGCTCCCCCCTCCATCCCTATAGACACCCCCCATTCGACTTCAGCCTCACACCTGTAATCACACAGTTGTCTATTTAGGGATCTATCTGCCCCACCTCCAATGCTTATCAGGTAGTAGGTCTGTCCTCCCACAGTGCACAGGCCCAAAACCCTATCAGCAACAAGCCCTTCCTCACCCCTTAGGGGAACCTTGCCATGGGGCAGAAAACTTGGGGGTGCGCCAGGTTGAGGTGGGTCCATGGGCCCCATCAGCACAGCCCTCTTCTCTGGAGGCTCCTCTGGTGCTAACTTCTCCCGGGCAGGTCCCAAGGCCAGGCCCACAGGCAGTGCCAGTCGAGGGGTTGGAATTCCACTCTCTTCTGGAAGAATAGGTAATTCAGCTCCCCTGACCCAATCAAGTCAGT